TGCTTCTGTTGCATTACAATATTTGCACCTCACTATATGTGCATTAGGGAATCATACTTTCTATGACAAACGGCTGCACATCTTTAACAAGAAGAAATACATGTGTGAGCATCCAATGAATAACGCCATGTTACTTAACATTTTATTGCCATCTTTTTTACTATTTACATAAATGCTTACCCAACACACCATTAAATTAAGGAGGTCTAGTATTTCCCACCCAGCTAGCCAATTGAAAAACTTGCTCAACAATATAAACAATATTTATCATCGAATTTATTTATTGTCAAATTAGATCATCTGTAGAAAGTCTGAAGACAAATGGTTTAGTAGAAAGTCAGATTACAAATGTTTATTACTGTTTTATCGTGTAATGTTTGTTATAGAACTGTTCTTTTTCCCAAAATCATATTACTGAGATAACTTATATTTCTTAATAATATGATTCTTCCCACTAATAAATGACTGATGGATTTAGACGTCTGGACTAATTTAACTTCTTCTCAAGCTTTCTTTTATTAATTTGTCTAAAATGTATCTCTTTTGAAAATTACTCCATTTTAAAAAAAAATGTAATAAATATTTGAAAAACTTTTACGCAATATAACCTCAAACACTCTTTGAATACAATTGCTCTTGGAAATGTATACATACTGACTTATATACTTTTACAAGAGGATTCTATATCTGAATATTGCTCTTATGAAAAATGCTCTCAGAAGTTATTTAATAAGTTAAATCCACCCCCCACCTTGCAGGGCTCTGCAACATCTACAGACCACTCCAAAGACATCTGAAATGAATCTCACAGGGTCGTCTAAGATTGTCCATCAAGTCTCTGGTGAAGGTACATGCAAACGCATATCTCAAATACATCTGAAAGTCAAACTTGGGGCATGTTTTAAGGTCCTACAACAAGTCTTTCCCTTGAATCACCTAAGAGAGTTTGGTTTCACATATGTCAAGGTTAAGCACAAAGGAATATGCATGGAGGGAGCCCAACTGGCTAATATCTCCTGAAATTAACTTATTATGAAGAATTCAATTTATTAAATACCTTATTAAAAAAAAAAATCTAAGTATAACGTATTTTTTCTTTTATATATATTTTTTTCAGTAAAATGTGTGTGTATTGAAGATACAGAATCCGAAATACAAAATTAGCAGCATGAACCGAGGAGAAATAGCCTTACTTAATGTGTCTTGTTTTTTTAATTCTGGCTATAACTTTTTCCAACAAAAAACTAAATTGTTTTGCATCCATCCTTCATTTTTTTGTAATTTCTAGCCCGAGCTCTAGGCTTTTTTAACTGTAACTTTTAGTAGTTTTAAAATTAGTGGATGCACCATAAGTAATTTCATTTCCTGACCAATATTCTCGTTTTACGGGTTGTTTTTTTACGTAATAAACTTTCTGTCAATTCTATAGCCATAATTTTGGAAGTTTGAAGTACAGCCCTACGCACTGTCGCCATTTTGAATCAACTAGCAGAAGCTTTTTGATTTCAAACGTGTCAACAGGGAATATTCTTTCAAGTCCATAGCGTAACTAGCAAATTCATCCTGGGAAGGCCTAGAGCTTTTGTTTTTTAAAAAATGAAGAATAATAATATTAAAAAATCACAACACATTTTTTGATTAAACTTTTACATAAATTTCTCTATACAGTATGTCCCCGGATTCTCTTTACAAGGGGAAACACTTTTTTATTATTGACATTTTGAGAAAAATGTATTCTTCATAAAAATTTTCGCTTCCTAAGTCCTAAAAATCTAAACGGTTTCTATGGTAATATAACTTTGCATTCTTTTGTAAAAATTCTTTTTCGTTTTCTTTGTTGTTTTAAAATGTTAAAGAAGCACAACATTTATGCCGGGACCCCATTAACCAACACGCCACGCCACGCGACGCCATGCTACCCCACGTCATGAAGATCTGTGCGTATGTTTTTCCATTTAATTACATGTATTGCGTACACGCCACCCGACGCCATAACACGCTATCACACGTGTGTCGTCTGTCCCAGATCTCATGTGTACACTCTTTCCCACGTCGCAACACGTGGGCCCACTTGTTGCGACGAGGAATAGTGTGGCGTCGCGTGGCTTATTGGCTAATTGGGTCCCGGCATTATTGGGAAAGGGTGATGATAGTTATCGGAAAATATTGGGAAAATATAATACTTTAACAACAGCAAAGAATATGGCATTAATCAAAATTAATAATAACCATCTATCAAAGAATTAAATCGAATTGATATTATCATAGAAACGCATTTTGATTTTTAGGACAAAAAATTCAACCATATTTTCATGTTTTTCTTAATTATCTCTAAAACGTTTTAAAAATTTGGAAAGGTAAAAACGGGATAAATCATTTTAGAAAAGCAAAATTTTTTATGAAGAATGCATTTTTCTTAAAATATTAATAATACAAAAGTTTTTCCCCTTGTAAAGACAATCAGAGGGCATACTGCATACATTTAATCGACTTAACTAAAACACATTATTTATTCATTTTAGATAAAACTAACACACAATTTTTGAACAAAACGAAGTAACAAAACTAGAAAAAGTCATTTTTACTACACCACAAGCAAATAAAAATTAATATGTACAATCATAATTCAGTCAAAATTCAGGACTTCTCTGGGGGTAACCAGCAGTACCAGGGATGGACCCGACACCCTGTAGTTAAGGCAATGTTCGAGTCATTTGAATTCCGGTAAATTGATGAGTTCACTTGACTCAACAAAGTCGCTGGATGGTATATAAGTCACTTGGAAGCGATTTAAATACATTTAAGTAAAATTCTACGTCATTCGATTGCTGTTATACACATCTTATCGGAAATTCCTCAAATCCCTGCTTTTATGTACTGTTAAACTGGTTTCAATTCTTCTGTCTATATCACAACACAGCTTGCCAATAACATAACCACAGTATAGCCACAGTATATTGTGCCATGGCTAAGAAAACAACTACATATTTGTTTCTATTCAGTTTTGAACGCTGAATTTTGCGTCTAAACATATTATTACGCTTGTTTTTAATCAAAAAACTCATGTGTGATGGTAAAATTAAAAGTTAATTAAAAGGTGAGTCAAAGCGTATGTTTTGTTAGGGATTTAAAAATAATAGCAATCTTTTTATAGTTTTAATTAATACGTATATAGCGTATATGCTAATAACAATATTCTTTGTTGTTATTGAGATAAACAAGCAGGGAATAGTGTACTTGCATCGAAATGATTTATTGTAATAAAACAATTATAAAATAATTAGAAGAATCAGTGTTAAAAATAACTTCTGTTTTCTAAGGAAATTATTTATAATTTTGCAAAAATAACAAATATTTCGAATATAAAGTTACAAAATTTTAATTGTTTTTCAACTATTCATTGTCTTAATTTGAATAATTTAAAATTGGAACAAAGAATTTTAGTAAAATATTTTCAGAATGTTTCTTTAAAAATTACAACTTATATCGCTCATTTTTTTATGGACTTCGCAGGGTTCGAATATATCATGATATTCATATAAATATCATATCACATGATATATACCTGATATATATGAAGCTATTAATATCATGATATATATCACAAGATTATATCCTCCAAACCCTGATATTTAACTCTGTTTTTTCAAGATTCAGGGAAGGATTTTTATGTGATAAGTAACTTTAATAAACAATAACATATGTTTTAGTGAAAAACATAGATATATACTTACAAAATAAGTAAGAAACCATTATAACCCATTGTCCTTGAAAGATTTTGGTATTTTCATTATTATACTAGGAATATTCAATAGTTTCAAAATACCTTGATCTCCAAGAAATATAAGCACTTATTCAAAACTACGTAAACTAAATTCATCGTCACTTAACACTGTTTTGAACATGATTTATATAAATTTGCGTTAAATAATAATGTTTTTCAAAATCACAAATGAACCGAGAATTTAAAACAGATAAAAAATATATACGCAGCGTCCAAAAGTGTGTAGATAAGTGTCTTATCCAGTGTACCGGTTGTCTCAGTTAAATCAAACTGCCCATGGATAAAATTCTAGCACTAACAGATATTGTATGTCAAACGAATTCAAAGTATATTGTTTTTTCTGTCAATTTTTAAAAAATGCAAACTTGTAAAAAATTAAAAATTAAATATTAATTAGTTCATAGTTATTATAATAATTATTATAGAGCATAATTTTCACATACAATACGATATTCAAACAGTTTTTTTTCAAAAAGCTGTAATATTTTTATTTGTGTACTTTAATGTGCATAGTCAATATGTTGAATATATTCATCCCAATTAAAATCTTTTTGTTAATATCCTGATACCCAAAAAGATATATACATATGTTGTTTACGTTAATTCATAATAAGTTATGAGTATTATAATTCTTCAATAAATTTTGTCTATGCTGGTGACATTTTGAAAACGAGTTTTTATGAGCAATAAAAATAGTTGATTTTAATTATTATTTTTCCATCACGTTCAAAATACCTTTAAACAATTTTTCTAGGAATATTTAAGGCTATGAAATATAAATTGAATGATCCAACGTTTTGTAGCAATATATATCCCCTGTATAAGGCTCCCTAAATCTCTGACTAACTAGGAAAAATAACAGCGCGTAAAGAAGTTTCACTCCAAAAATAAAATGGCAATTATTACAAAAAAAACTTGGTTTATAAACTTAAAAAGTATTTCTGCTGGTGTCACAATAAGTATACTTAGCTAATATTTGTCCCGGAAATTCTCGAGGGTATTTACTATATTCTTCATCTTTTCCCAGCTTTTTTCTAAGAAATATATGTTACCATATCAACCAAAAGGTCAAAAGCAACAAGTTTATCTTGCAAATAAACAATTATTTATGATTATTACAATAACAAATAGTATTTTAGTCTTGTGTATTCTTTTACAGGACTGAGACAGAATGTTAATATCGATTTTTACTTGGTGTTCGTTAGTGATCAGTGTTGTGGTGGGACAACTGGTATCGCCCTGTCCAGAAACCTTCACGTACGAGTCCAGGGACAAGGACCAGCCGGACAGATGGTACGGAGTGGTTCTCTTAAAGTCCCAGGAAGACTTGGAAGGCATATGGTTGAGGATAATTTTGGACAGAAGTGCAGAACTATTAGGGGTAACTTATTATGATATAATTTTGATAATAAATTTAATTATTCTTGCATTCTTCGTAAAATCAATAAGTATAAGCAAAGTTCCGTGTGATAAAAAAAAGGCGTCAAGGACGGCTGGGGAATGACCATCGATGATAATTTTGGCGAGGCCAATCTCTAGATGTCATTTAAAAATCATTTTTACTCAATACATATAAAGATAAATTATAACTTTCTTAAGGCCAACTGGCAATAAGCGCAATTGAAAAATAAAGAAGAGTACGGGCGAAGTAAATGACGTCTAGGGCTTGACCTCGCCAAATTTATTATCGATTGTCATTCCGCAGCCGTCCATGACGCCGTTTTTTTTCGATCGTATGGTGTTTAAAGTATAGCTAATATTTTTTGATTTCCAAACCAAATCAGCCAAAAAACTGAAAGAAGTGTTTATAAGTGCAGATAATAAAAATATATGTATGAAGAATTGTGTTACAGAATTGGTTTGGAGATACATCCTCAACGGATAACAAAGAATATACTATCAGGAACCCCTCGTATAGATTAGAGGCAGGTCCACCCGTAGCTGTAAGGTTTTTTGTAAAATATAACGCAGCCTCCATAGTACCTACAGTGTCAAAAATACTGTTAAATGGTAAGAAGTAATAATAAATATGTTTAAGTAAAATCAGAGATACCACCTATATTTCTACATGTATCATACAGTCATTATTAAATAAAACAAATACAACTAAATTATTATTATTAATTATTGTCTTTATAGGTAAGACTCTGTGTCCCACTACAAAAAGAGTGGAACCTCAATTACATATAAGTGTAAAAAATGATCCAGAAGGTACTCAAACGCTTTCAGTGTCTCCAAATAATCCAGGTGTAATAAGAAGACCTCCACCGTCAAATAGAGAAACCACAAAGAGGTAGGCGTCATACCACTATACTCATTTAGTAAAAAAATATAATACCTTACTATTAGGTGTTATATAAGAACTATACAGTGTGTACTTGTTTTTATATTGTTTTTACAAGAGGAAGAACTTTTTATTATTATTGACATTTTGAGAAAAATACATTCTTCGTAAAATTTTTGCTTGTTCTCAAACGGTTAAAACCGTTTATACTTGTAAAAAAAATTATACGTTTTAAAAAAAACAAGAAAATATGATTGTATTTTTTTCAAATTCCAAAAATTCAAAAGGCATTTTTATGGTAATATAATTTCGATGTTTTTTCTTTGATATATGGTTATTATTAATTATAACTTTCCTATTTTTTGCTGTTTTCACTTTTTAATTTTCTCTAAAACGGTATGGAAATGAAACAAGCAAAAATGTTGTATGAAGAATGCGTTTTTCCCAAAATGTCAATAATAAAAAAAGTTTTTCTTCTTGTAAAGACAAATCCGAGGACATGCTGTATACAAAGGAGACGCTTTTCATTCAAAATAAAATATGTAAAATATCATTTCTTGTTCGGTAAAATCTGAATCACTCCATTACATATATGCACAGTCCATCGGTAAGCCTAAAAAGCCCCACAGACGCTCAGTTCTTTCGTACAGGCTGACTGTGCAGGCCGGTTTGCGCAGTTTAACCGCTCACACGCGCAGTTTTGTCTACAGTAAAAAAATAGAATCACCACATTTTTTACTGTGAAAATTGCTTATCGAGATACAGTTGCATTCTGATCGCTTATGCAATAAAGAATATTTTTGCTGTCTCTGTAATTCTTACTTTTTATTTTCCATAAACATGAAACATGGCAAGCTTTAATTATTATAATTATTGGATAAATTGATAATTGATAATGCCATAATAGTTATTTGTTATATAAATGTTTTAAGTTAATAATAGACTGAATTTTGTCTACGGATTGAAGCCCAACTGCCTGTACAAATCAGATTTGAACGTCAAAATTGAGCGTATGTGTAGGCCTTTAGACAAAAAATGCACCGTTTTAGGCCGTCTAATAGTGGCTTAGCCTTAGGGAATCCCCTAAATGAAGATGAAGACGATGACTATGCGTTTTTTGGGGGTGATTTCGCTATTGGTACATCTAATAAAACTGCTTCTAGGCCACTCAGTGTTCCCAGTCAGGATATTTCGTGCGGAACAGTAGCAACGCAGGCGAGTCCGCTGATTACTTTTGGTCAAAGCACTATCCCAGGTAATTTCTATCACCGTATAGTCTGTCCAAAGATGAAAGGATTTCTATCATTTTAATTCACAGTTAAATTGTATTGTCTGTCATTTTTTGAATGTAGTCTGTCGAAATCTTATTCCTTGACTCGTTGGGCAGACTCTATCAATACCTATAAAATTTACGCGCGAAAGATACAAAATAATCACTTATTTAGGACAGTGGCCTTGGCATGTGGCACTCTACTATTCCAAGGGTCTGGAGTTAGTCTACACGTGTGGAGGAACCCTTATATCAGAGAACTTTGTTTTGACAGCTGCTCATTGTATTACCAGACCACGTACGAATCAACCTGTCAATCAGCGAAACATACTGGTCTACCTGGGTAAGTCAGTGTATAACAAGCGAATACATGACATTTTTGGATGTCGTCTGTCGAAATATACCCGGATTTGTTGGACAGACTATACCTATATAGTCTGTCTGTTGACGAAATATATGATTTGGTATGGAATTTACATACTTCTGAAATAAAATGACAGACGATTGTCATAGGTAATTCTTCCTCTAGATAGACTATAGTTTTTTTATTAACTTAAACTACTGGAAAATAGTAATAAAATATTCGTAAAAAAATTCTTCTAAAATTATTTTTAGCTTAATAAACTACTCAAAACAATTATAGCATATTTTCTAAAAAATAATTATTAATTTGAAAAACAAGACACTTTGAATTCCCCGACTTACCATTTTAAATAGTATAGATACTGTGAAGGGAAATTCAATAAAATAAGCCTATGCGCTAACCTGTAATTTTTAGTCGGCCGACTTTTAGTTGCAAAAGTAAAAACAATACATACTTATAAAGTCAATCGGCCCACCATTTGATTGCATGTGAGCGCGGCTCCATAAGGATATATTGGTTACAAATATGCAACTAAATAGTCGGCCGATTAAAAATTGTCTGTCAACGCATAGCCTAAGGCCACGCAATGTAATCAAGTATTGGGCCGATCGGCTCCATAAGAATGTATTGTTTTCACTTTTGCAACTAAATAGTCGGCCGACTAAAAATTACATGTCAGTGTATGTACCCTCTAATTATCCTAAAAAAAACTCACAAGAGAAAGGCAGAAAAATGCATGCTTCATTTAGAAATATGTAATAATTACTTTTATTCGAATATGCGATAATTGTTTTGAGTAGTGTACTTATTAGAGTATTACTGTCAAATAGTTGAACTTAAAATACCTTAATAATCCTTTTTAAATACTTTTCCTTTATTTTTTTTTAAGGAAAATACAGTTTGCTAAGTTTTGGTCCTGAAGTGCAAGACAGGAAAGTGGACCAAATTATTATTCATCCAAGATACAATGCTACATTATTCTATAACGATCTGGCACTTCTAAAATTGGACAGGCCAGCAGAAATAACGAATTATGTTAGGAAATGTTGTTTATGGGAGGAGGACGACAATCTCCAAAATCTGATCGGAAAACTAGGTATAAACTAAGTGTAATATACTTAAAATTATAGGTGATGGTGATTCCTTTAGTGATTCCTAATTAAAAAACATTTTTAAAGATACATGATACACAGTTATTATAAAAAAAAAACTCTTTTTTTACCACCCTGTAGCTTTACATTACTTTTTTTAGGCACTGTAGTTGGCTGGGGTTTTGACGAAAACAGAAAACTCACAACCAACTTGATGCAAACGAAAATGCCCGTCGTCTCTTCAGACACTTGCATTTTTTCAAATAGGAACTTTTTCTCGCAATTCATATTCGATAAAAACTATTGTGCAGGATTCAGAAACGGTAATTTGGTATAAATTTCATAAATAAAAAAATAAATAGTTATTTTCTAGGAACATCTGTATGTAATGGAGACTCTGGCGGAGGTATGGTGTTCCCAAAAGCCGGGACAAGTGGAGCAGATACTGTATGGCAGTTGAGGGGCATAGTTTCTGTTAGTGTGGCCTTACAAGGAGAGGGCACTTGTGATCCTTCACATTTCATGGTTTTTACGGATGCTTCTAAACACTTAAGCTGGATTAAACAAAAAATAAATTATTGACAAATTTGACTCATTATTTGTTCCAAGAAAGCTGAATTGTGATACCTATACTATGTATAAAGGATTTTTTTAAGGTCTAGCAAAGTTTCATTGCATATAAAGTTCAAGTCACACTGTGTATAAATGCCCTATAACTTGCGCTTAATATTATTACAAGACTTTTTATCAACCAAGTATTATTATGATGTATCTAGAAATATTTCTTTTAAGAAAAAGGATATTTACAATCATTCAAATCCAGTATATCATAAGAATACCCCTGATTGAATACCAAAAATATTAGAATAAAAAAGATGGGCATTGGACATACATAAATGATTTTTTCTTAATTCAGACTTTCTACATTTTATTTAACTAAGTATTTACAACGCCTAAATTATTTTAAGTGACCTAATGTGTATATACAAATCGTCCTTTCAAAATTCTGTTCATAATAACCCTACGTCCC